TTAAGAGTAAAAAACTTTTAATCTAACGGTTGAATTTATAAAATTCACATTTAATATAAAGTTATTGAGCGGTGTAATACTTAGTAAAAATTACACCAGTGTTATTATAACCCTTCTCTTTTAAAATATTATTTTTATAAATAAATTATATTAATTAACTTAATATATTTATTCATCTTAAATCTATGATATAAAATTCAAAAAATGTATTTATTCTTGTTTTATTTTCTAATTATCAACCATTAATAAAATACTAATTTAAAATCTTATCTAATTATATCATAATATTTTCATATCAAATTTAAAACCAAATATTATTATGTTATTTTTTATCATCATTAATTTATAAAAATAAAAAATTTAAAATGACAATTTTTAATAATATTTATTTTTTTTACCAAATATTCTTTACATCACTTAGATAACTAAAAAATTATCTACAGAGAAAATTCTGTAGGTAATATTCCATAGATAACTAATTTCGTAGGTAATATTCCGTAGATAACTAATTTCGTAGGTAATATTCTGTAAATAACTAAACATTATCTATAGAAAAAATTTCGTAGGTAATATTTCGTAGATAACTAATTCCATAGGTAATATTTCATAGGTAATATTCCGTAAATAACTAAACATTATCTATAGAAAAAATTTCGTAGGTAATATTTCGTAGATAACTAATTCCATAGGTAATATTTCATAGGTAATATTCCGTAAATAAGTGGCGACAATATTGTCTGCATGCCATGTAAGGTTCATTGCATGAGTTGCATTAGCAAACAATCGCTTGAACCTTGGAATAATTGGAAGATACCATAACACCTTCACTGGAGGCCCCTTGTCAACTACATCTTCATCACTACTACAACCATCATCCTTCACTTTGTACTGTGACAACCCAGAACGAGGACATTTGTGCAATGATTCAAACTATTTACTATATAATATGCAATCATTAGGGCATGAATGTATTTTCTTATGTTGTATACCCATCGAACACAAAACCTTTTTCGCCTCATAATGACGATCTGGCAACATGTTGTCTTTTGGAAGCATTAACTTCAACAACTCAAGCAACTCTGTAAAACTTTTATCACTTCAGCCATATTTTGCCTTCAAGTTCATTAATCTCAACATTGCTGATAATCATGTGAAGATTGTACAATCAGGAAACAAAGGTGTCTCTGAATCACTTTTTAAAGTATCATACCCATGTGATTGTGCTTGCTGGAAAAACTCTTGTCCCACATCACAAATCATGTCTTCTATTTGATCTTCCATTTCTACATCACCTTGCTCAGTTTGGGCCACAATTTGAGTTTCTTTTTCTTCACCATGCCATATCCATGTTGTATAGCTCGTTAAAAACCCATCACAAATAAGATGGTCCCGTATTTTGTCAATTACACGTCGTCTCCCATTTAAACAATTAACGCAAGGAAAATAAAATTTTCCATTCAAATCTGCTCGATTTTGTTGAGAAAATTGCAAAAACTGTTCAACCCCATTTTGATACTCATTAGTGATTCTTCTTGCATTTATCCAACTACAATCCATTTTTCTTCTTCTGTGAGACAAATTTATTTACACAATTGAGTATTTATGGTCTCTCTATATAGTTGAAGAGCAAACCATACAGTAATTCAATGTATTTGAACCTATTATTTCATTTATCTAAGTAGGTAGAAGATCCAAATATAAGTCATCTTATTTCATCAACTACATAAATAAAATTCATCTCATTTCTTCAACTAGATAAATAAACTACATAAATATAATTGAGTTTAAGGTACCTTACTAAGAAGATATCACAAACTAGATGTGTTGACTAATGGATGTCAAGAAGAGAAGTATCACACTCTGCACACTTCCTGCCAAATCAAAATCAAGTTTAAGATTTATGTGACTACATACGTGTCTTCTCGTTATGAAGTTTAGATAATCCATTGTTGAACAAAAATGCACCAATGAGATGTGAAAAGTAGAAGCTTAAGTTCAAACCTTATTTAACTTAATAATAAAAATATATGACCATTTTTTGGGTAGTTCTAATTAACAAGGATAGTTTTTGAAAATATAGTAGAATCTAGTCTTTTTAAGCATCTCATATTTCCACCAGCGTTAAGGATTTTCACTAAATGGCAGAAACTTAGACAAAAAACCACTAACTATGTTGATTTACAACATACCAGCATTAAGGATTTTCACCATATTACTAACTAAATTAATATTTAGATGCTCTAGAATACAACATACCACTAACCATCTTGATTTACCATACTAGACAAAATGTTCACTGACTTAGTTTCAAGTTACATAAAAGGATTATAAAAATTGTACTATCCTCTATTAAACATTACAACCAACAGAAACAAAATCATATGCCAACCCTACAGACACAAGGATCCTATGATAACAAACATAATATAATTTTATGTTACCATGCTTATTCAAAGTTCACATTAGTTCCTTTTATGAATCTGGCACACAAGCTATAAGCCATTAGGGAGATTCGTCAATTAATATATATATATAT